GCCTCTAACTGGGCTCTTGGCTCCTTCCCCTCCCCTCCCCCCCTCTCTCTATTGGACTTCTTCGTCTGCCCCATCCAGCCCTTCTCTATGTTCGTTGGATCCTGTGCCTGGAACATTCTTCCCTCCCTTCTACCTGATTAGCTACTGGCTTCTTTTCCAGTCTCAGCACAAACCTCTCTTCCCTGGAGAAGCCTTGTGTCTCCCTGCAAACCAGGCCAGGCTCCTACGGTGCACTGTAGACAAACCACAGTTCTTGGCTCCTTCTAATAACGTAATTGTTTGAAATTCGGGTTGCTGGCCCCTCTTGTGGAGTCCCCTCTTGTGGAGTGCAAGCACCATGAGAACAAGCCCCCACCTTCTCTTGGTCACGGGATCTGCCTGGCTACATCCTAGTGCAGCTTCGGCGTTTGGTGATTGGTTTGCTTATATTAGGAAGTGAAGGGATTTGCATACTTTGAATGTTGCTTTAGGTGATATTTAATCCTTTTAAAGCTGCCAGATCTAGTTCATTTAACCATTTTGGATTAGAACAAAGGTTGGCAAACAAGGCTTGCTGGCTGTTTTTGTAAATAAAGTTTTCTTGGAACACGGCCACACTCCTTCCTTTACGTACTGATCGTGGCTTTTGCAGCAGCGACTATATGACCTGCAACACCTAAAATACTTACTCCAGAGCTCTTTTGGGGAAAAGTTTGTCAACCCTGGAGTAGGATAATTTCAGAAATTATTTCCTTCTTCCCTGTCTTCTCATCGAACTTCAGATGGGTCATCGTGAACTTTCTTGATTACTGTGAACTGTTACTGTGTTTACTCTACAGGGATGCTGATGGGGTTTATAGGAGGGTTTGGGTTTTTTATCCCCCAGATTTGCTTTAACACCGTAGGCTTTTATTTCACGTATCTGTGCCTGCCCTAGGTCACTAGTGGACCCTTACCCCCTGTTCTGAATCTGTGACTCACGACTCAATGTCCGTTAAGGAATGAGACAGCCAGGCCTTTTGGAATTAACTGTTGGAAGAGTAAGAGGTCCCGGGGAGTGGCTGCAAGGCTCCTCTCTAAGTAAAGCACAGGAACTTTCTGTAAGGAAGGGAGACCCGCAGTTTGGCTCCTGGCAGGCATTCCAAGTGGATCCGTGATGATCGCAGTTAGCTGAGGCTGTGGCCGAGAGACGGGCTTGGGATAAGGGAGGTGTTGAGCCTATATCATGTACTGTTGCATAAGCCCTGGTTTTTACGGTGTGGGGGGTGGGGAGGTTGCTGTGAACCAAGTTTGCAAACTTTCCATCTCATTCTGAGTTCAGTGCTTTGATACACAGACTCAGGTAGAAAATGAACTCCCGGTTCCCAGTGGACAGTCACCTTTACACTTTAAACTAACACTCTGCACCCTGGCTTCCTGCCAAAATATTTCTTTTCCCAGTGGCTAGAAACTGATTAGCTAGATGGGAGAACAAAGGTGCCTTTGTACTGGGGCATATTGCTTTTGAGAATTTAGCAGAGAGCATTCAAACAGTCTGGATGCAATGCCAAATTATGCAGATTTAGGATTGTTCTTTCTTTTTTGGGGGGAGGGCGGGGGTCAGGTTTCCCATGTAGGCAACTTAATTTTGTTCCAGTGTGTACAGTGTGGAATTTTCCTTATAAATATTATGTAGGTTTTTTTAAATTGATTGTTTTAAAATGAAAAGATACTTTTGGGAAAATACATTCAGTAGAAGACTATTGTTGATAGTCTTTCCCAAGTGTTGCCAAAAAGATTCTTGTGTCACTGGGTTAATTTCCAAAGCCAAATTATAAATAAATTTGTCTCTGTAGGAACATAGTATGCATATTTTATAAATGAAGACAGAATTTGCCCCAGGGGGAAAAAAATGCCAAAAATTAAGGTACCCCTGGTCTTGTACATTTATCTGCAACTAGCCTT